GTTTGCACGAGTGGGAAATGAATCCGACTTATCTTCTTCCACTCTTCCGCAAGTGGGGGTTCCCCCAGATAGATGTTTTCGCCACCAGGGTGAACAAAAAGTGCCGTCTGTTCTGCAGCCGAGGTGGCAGGGACCCGCAGTCTTTAGGGGACAGTCTCCTCTACCTGTGGTCCAGAGAATTTCTCTTCCTCTTCCTCTTCCCTCCACTGCCTCTACTTCTGAGAGTGGTCCGCAAAATCATCAGCAACAGAGTGGACTGCATCCTCATAACCCTGTGGTGGCTGAGGCAACCATGGTTCTCAACTATTCTTGTTCTGTCATTGGGGGTCTACCACCAATTTCCTCCAGTACAAGACCTTCTGTTCCTAACTGAGTCCCCTCTCCTATACCACGACATGCCACGAATGAAGTTGACAGCCTGGAGAGTGGCATCAATAGCTTTTCCTCCCACATAGCAAATGTGTTGCTAAACTCCAGAAAGTCCACTACACGAAAATCTTATCATTATACGTGGCTAAGGTTTTGTTCCTCCTTGGGTAAGGATGCCCCTCGAGCCACCTCCGTTGGTCTCGATAAGGTTTTCAAATTCCTCCTGTCTCTCGCTGACTCGGGACTGTCTCATTCCTCGTTAAAGGTTTATTTGGCTGCACTTTCAGCATACCATGTTTAAGTTGAGGGATGCACATTTTTCTCGCATCCTCTTTCTAAACGTTTTTTTTCCGAAGGGACTGTTACACCTTTACCCTCCCATCAAAAGTCCTGTCGTCCCCTGGGACCTTCCCCTGGTCCTTCGCCATCTCACCAGGAAACCTTTTGAGCTGCTCGCAAGTTGCAACATGAAATTCCTGTCCTGGAAAACAGCCTTTCTGGTGGCTGTCACTTCAGCAAGGCGAGTTGGAGAAATACTGGCTTTCAGACATGATACTCCTTTTAATTTTGGCAGACGGGATCCACCTTGTACCTGACATCTCGTTCTTGCCAAAGGTAGTTTCAGAATTTCACCTACAGGCAGAGGTCTTCCTCCCGGATTTCTTCCCTGCTCCGGCATCCCCAGGGGAGAGGCTGTTACACACTTTAGACACGAAACGTGCGCTTCTGTTTTACCTAAACAGAACCCGCCCAACGAGACGTGACTGTCAACTGTTCATTTCCTATGCACCAGCAAGGCTGGGAACTCGCATCACGGCTCAGCGTTTGTCAAGGTGGGTTGTAGGTCTCATCCGCCTCTGCTATCTTATCGCCAAGCAGCCATTGCCTGGCCCTATCAAAGCTCATTCAACCCGAGCTGTTGCAGCCTCAACTGCCCTCCTCCAGGGAGTTCCCTTAATGGACATTTGCAGAGCTGCTACGTGGGCTACACCTAATGCGTTCATAAGGCACTACGCCCTAGATGTCCGAAAGAACTCTCGTACCAACATGGGATGTCACATCTTATCCTCGGCTTTGCAGTAATGACCTGCCAGCACCCTCCTCCAGGTAGGCCACTGCTCGCTAATCTCCCATGGGTGTGAAGCACAGAGACCACGTCCAAGATAAACAGGTTGCTTACCTGTAACTGGTGATCTTCGAGTGGTCATCTGTGCATTCACACCACCCGCCCTCCTTCCCCACTGCTGTCAGCTTCTACATTTTTCATAGGGGTTGATTTGCAGCGGTTTGAAGGAACTGGTGGGATATCCGTGCCCTCCCCTCTGGGCATGTGTGGTGGGGGTTTCTGCACATGCCTGAGGTCTGGGCGCAAAGATCTATTAACGCTTGCTACAATGCCGATCGATCCAGCGCAGGCGCACTGCATCCCATGGGTGTAAATGCACAGATGACCACTCGAAGATCACCAGTTACAGGTAAGCAACCTGTTGTTGTTTTTCTGTTCAGCGCACAGTGGCTATTCTCCATCTCAGCTGTGCTGTGTGTGTGGTGGGGTGGAATCATGGAAGGGAAGCAGCATTGTTGATTGCAGAAGCACTGTGCCATGGTTGGACACTGTTTGTTTTATTTGGGAGCTAAAAACCTTCTTATTTTGTATGTCTTCTCCCCCTCTCCCTTCCATTATGTTCGGAATCCTGGTTTACAGAGGACGTGCAAACCATAGTTTGCCAGTTTGGATTTAAAGACATGCTCTAGTGGGCTGAAAGTATTAATCAGCTGAAGTAACTCCACACAAGTGGAAAAGACAGGTGGTAGGAAAGCATGGATCATGTGACCTTCTTCAAGGCTCATTTACACATCAACAACCAAACATTAGAGCTCGAAAGCTCTAGCGCTGCCTCCAGAATACTTTAAACTTAAGAACCAGCTCCAGCAGCTCATTAAAAAAAGAGGAATGATTATCCTAATAACCAATGGGAACAATTATACTATGCTGCAACTTTAAATAATTCAAAAAAATTCTGGGCTATAGTCTTGGGTGCATTTCATGCTGAGGATCCCTCCATGTTTGCCATGTCCTCGTATTTTTGGTACCAGTATTTTTCAACTCTATTCCACCAAAAGCAAACCTATGCTAGTGAATCACTAGAGTTTGTCCTAGAGGACCTACCTGACTGGCCACCTGTGTCATCTAATGATATTAAAGAATTGATCGAAAAATTGAAATCAGGGAAAGCACCTGACCCAGACATAATTCCCTCTGAGATTCTAAAATCAGATCCAGATTGGTGGGCCGCTCCTCTTGCATCCCTCTTTACAATGATAGATAAAAGGTAAAGGTTCCCTTGCTCGAAAGCCAGTCGAGATAGAACTGGCCTTATTCCTAATGCATGGCTGAATGCAATAGTGGCCCTTATATATAAAAAAAGGCGATCATACTATTCCTGCTAATTATAGACCAATCAGTTTAATTTCTACAATGGGCAAGTTGTATACTAAACATTTATTAGTCAGCTTACTCTCTGGATGTCACAGCAAAAAGTTTTGGGTCCAGAACAGTTAGGTTTTTGCAAAGGGAAAACCACCTTAGATCATTGTACTATTCTATCTAATTTGATCAATAAGTATGTTATTCAAAATAACTCAAAATTATTTGTGGGTTTCCTAGATCTGAAGGGAGCATTTGACTCAATTGATAGGGAACTTCTTTGGGTTAAATTAAATCAACTAAATATGGACAATATTTATATATTGGCACTCTCCAGCTCTCCCATTGGCCATGCTGTGTGCTCCATCAGCCATTGGCCCATCAACCGCCACTCAAGAGTACTCGCATGCCATTGGCTGGGTGCTGAGTCTGCCTCTCCGCCACCCACTGCCAGTCTGGCCACTTTCCTGACAGAATAAACTGCCAAAATGGCGGTCTCTCCAGTCCTGACAAAGACGCTTTTCCTGCTTGGCTCCTGTGGGGCTAACCTCTTCGGAGGTAACAAGCGTCTGGCGAAGCATTTTGACTGTATATTCTGTGAATAAACCCTTGTATATAGTGTACCACTGGACTGTGCAGTGTGGTTACTATAGAGGGGCAGAACAGCAAAGAACTGGTAAGAGCTGGGAGGCTGGAAAGTCTGCTAAGGTGCTGTCTTGGCTTAGACTGGTCTGTGGACCACTACACACGCTCTGCGCAACAGGACCTCAGACAGGTACAATGCCATAGACTCTGCCAGCCATTTCCTCCTGGGAAACCATTGCTGCCAATCTCCAGGTGAGGGCTGGAGATCACTCAGAATTACAACTGCTCTCCAGATGGCAGAGATCAGTCCCCCTGGAGAAAATGTGTTTTGCAGGGTGGACTCTGTGTCATTATACCTTGCTGGGGTTGCTTCCCTCCTGCTTGGGTCTCCACTGCAGAGAAAGACTGTACTTTTCCTAGGTAGAGGCTCCAGGTGTGTTGGGGGGGGATGGAAAGCTGAAGTCGGAGGGGCAGATAAATGTAGGTTGATGGTTGGCTGGGAAGGAGATAGGGTTGCCAACTCCAGGTTGGAAATTCCTGGAGATTTGAGGGGTGGAGCCTGGAGAGGGTGAAGTTTGAGCAGGGGTGGGACCTCAGTCAGGTACAGTGCCATAGACTTCACCCTCCAAACCAGTCATTTACTGCTGGGGCATTGTTGCCAATCTTCAGGTGAGGGCTGGAGATAACTCAGAATTACAATTTAGGTGGCAGAGGTCAGTTCCTCTGTGTCATTATATCCTGCTGGGGTCACCACAGCAAATTGATGCTGAGTGCCCAAGGCCAGGGCACCCACCCAGAGCCTCTTTTTAGAGCCTGTTTGGGCCTTATTCCAGTACCAACATAAAGCAAAATAAACATTTTATGAAATGGTTTTGCACTGTTGCATCTTTTTGCACTCATCATTTAATGCTTCCTACTTGTTGCAGGAGATGTTTCCAAAGAGAAATGTGTAATGTGGTTTAGTGTTTTTGTAGTAGACAGGAGATTAACTGAATAACAGAAATTGATTCCACATGGTGAACTACATCTGAAGTGGAGAATATTTAACCAAGTGACAGGTTGGGCAGTCTCTTGTTCTGTCAGAGCTTTTTGAAAGGGTCTGTGCTATGGCCTGCTTGTACACACTTTCAGATATATTACTGCACAGGTGACCAATACTGACAGATAAAGCAAATTTTTATCTTCTATTGCAGCAAGAAAAAGCATCATTAGATACCAGGAAAAAATTATTAGCGAGACTGGAAAAGGAGAAAGCAAAAATTGAAGAGAAAACTGGTGCTCAGCCAGAAAAGTAAGGCCCAACTATAGGAAAGTATTATGTACATAGTCTAGTTAATTTTAGATCAAGTTCACCAAATACGGCAACAAAGTAATTTAAAAGCATTTTTCTCTTTACTGATTTACCATATAGCTTGTTGCTCACTTTTTAGGTTAGTTACTGTTACTTTTTAGTTATTGTGCTAGTTAGGATGATATGGTCTGACATGTTTAACCAGAGGGACAAGGAGTTGGTGTTTATATCTGCTGAGTACAGGAAGGCCAGTTCCACAATCCAAATGTTTTGCATAATTTCTTGATCTAATAGTTCACTTGTTATTCCATATTTTCTGAATTACAGGGGGAAAAAGCCTCATAAGGTAAAAGAACCTGAAGCTGTGAAAATGAAAGAAGATTTAGCTAAAGCACAGGTAATAAATGCATAAAATCAGACAGATTTCTGACAAGACAAAGCTTCCTGGAGCTGTATTTGACTGTGAGAACTTTTAGAAACTAAGCCTTCTCTGGAAAATGATTGGAGAGGAAGGATATTTCTTTTAACAGGACAGATCCCTTAACTTCTTTGAAGTCTGCACAGAAGTTTGAGGATTAAGGCTTCCGGTCTGGCTCCCGCGAATGGCGGACGCATCCTCGGGTCGCTCCCGAGGGCGTCTCGCCCGCCCGCGGTGGAGGAGGGAATCTGCGCGAGCGGAGACCCGAACGAGCCCCTCAGGAAGAGAGGAGCTCGGATCCGGGGCGCTTTAGGGCGCACTAGGGGGGAGTCGCTCTTTCGGCCGAGAGG